TATAATACTATGTTATTATATTCTTGTTATCCCCATATTTCTAAACCTACTAGAATTGATAATGTAACAATAAGTGAAACATTAATTGATAATATATTCTCAAATGTCATACATGCAGAACATTTAAATGGTATTCTGTACTCAGATATATCAGATCATCTACCCATTTTTGTTATATGCTATAATGTCATTAGTGAGAAAACAAGGAAAAATATTTTCGTTAAAAAGAGGAAAGAAACAGAACAAACTATTGATTCTTTAATTTCTAATTTGTCCAAAGAACAATGGCGCGAGATATTCTCGGTTGAAGATGCTTATTTATCATATCAAAACTTTTTGCATAAACTCTCTTTTTATATAGATAAGAATATGCCATTTATTAAAAAAAAAGATAATATAAGTATAAAACAGCCATGGATTACTCGGGGGTTAATGAAATCAATTTTAACTCGCAATCGTATTTATAAAATATCATTGCGTAAACCAACTGCTCAGAATAAAGATAGATATAAGCATTATAGAAATAGATTAACAACTTTAATTCGTGTATCACGTAAACGGTATTATTCAAATAAAATAGAATCTAATCAAGGGAATGTAAAGGTATTATGGCAAACTATTAATGATCTCTTAAAAACTAAAAAGAAAGTATGCTCTGATATAATAGTTGAAAGTGGTAATGAAATCACGGACCCTCATTCAATTGCTACTGCTTTCAATAACTATTTTGTTAATATAGGTCCACGTTAAACCTTGACAATACACTCAAATGAAAACTTTAAGGATTATTTATTTGATGCTAATGAAAATTCATTATTTTTTATTCCAGTGAATGAAAATGAAATATGAGAGATAGTTCGATCGTTTAAAGGGAAAGTCCACCCCCAAAATAAGTTTGTTTCGACAGAGGCAGAATAATAAGAAAATCAGGTGAGTGAAAGTTTGAGCAAATTCTGAATGAAAATAAAAAAGTTATGAATTATTGAAGTTGTGATCAATCAAATACAAATTGGCAACTCTGTGACTTATTATACGAGCTCTCCTTCATTTGCTTTGTGCATAATACTCCATAAAATCATGTTTTCTTCGTTATTGATGACGGAATATATATTTGTTCCTTGCAGGGGGAGTATAGAAACATATTTGCAATTATTATATTTAGGGTGCATGTATGGTTGAAATTTTTCTTGAGGGAAAATGAAAATTTTAGATTTTTTTAGTACTCTGCAAATGGAAGTTGAGCTCGCATGATACGTCATAGAGTTGCCAATTTGTGTTTGATTGATCACAACTTAAAAAATCCTAACTTCCTTATTTTTAATCGGAATTTGCTCAAACTTTCACTGACTTGTTTCTCTCATTTTTCTACTCCTATTAAAACTAACTTAATTTCAGGGTGGACTTCCCCTTTAAGATGAGTAGATCATGCGGTTATGATGGAATAAGTGTGTATTAATTAAAGAAAATTATTTATTGTTTGGCCTCTCCCCTAGTTCTTATTTGTAATTTATCGCCCTATCTCGCTATTGCCGGTCATTTCCAAGATTTTAGAAAAAATTGTTTATAAACGCCTTTATTCTTTTTTACAAGAAAATAATACTCTTATTTGCAATCAGTTTGGATTCTGAAAAGGCTTTTCTACTGATTATGCTTTGATACAATCTTGTGATAAAATAACTCAAACACTTAATAAGGAACATATAATTGGGGTTTTTATGGACCTGTCAAAAGCTTTTGACACCATGAATCATAACATTTTGTCGCAAAAACTTACTCATTATGGTATACGAGGCATAGCCTTAAACTTGTTTAAGAATTATTTAGTTAATCGAAAGCAATTTGTTTCATTTCAGTCAGTAAATTCCCCTAACTTAAATGTGTTATGTGGTGTTCCACAAGGATCAATTTTAGGCCCCCTTCTTTTTCTTATTTATATTAATGACATAGTAAAGTCATCACCACTTCTTACTTACGTGCTTTTCGCAGATGACACTAACATATTTTGTTCTCATAAATGCTTGAATACTCTAATTTATACTCTCAATAATGAATTAGTTGAAAACTCAACATGGTTTAAATGCAATAAATTGTCCCTTAATTTAGATAAAACATGTTTTATAAATTTTTGTGCTTCCCAAACACACTTTGATCAGGTTATAAACATTGTTATTGATGATATTTCTATAGTTGAAAGGAAATAGACAAAATTTTAGGTATAACTCTGGATTCAAAGCTTACTTGGAATAATCATGTAAATAATATTACAACATCAATTTCAAGGGCAGTTGGGGTAATTGGTAAAATGAGGGATCTTGTACCCGAGAAAATACTTTATACATTATATAATGCATTAGTGTTACCTTATTGTACATACTGTAATGTAGTTTGGGGGAACTGTAGTATAACTAAGATTAATATAATTTTTCTCTTGCAAAAAAGAGCACTTAGGATTTGTACTCATTCTAATTACTTAGCTCATACAAATCCTTTAATTTATAGATTAAACATTTTAAAAGTGAGTGATTTGCACTTATTTCAAACAGCAATCTGTATGTTTAAATACACACAAAATTCACTTCCTCTTTTTCATGACGTATTTATTCCTAATTCCCATGTTCACTCATATCCAACGCGTAATTGTACTGATTTTCATTTACACAATCCTAAAACTTTGTTAGCACATAAGTCCATAAGATATCACAGTCCAGACATTTGGAATGCACTCCCTAGACATGTTAAACAGTGTACATCTCTCTATTCATTTAAAGCTACACTAAAAAAAAAACATTATTTCACAATATAATGTATAAAGATTAAAAAAAAAAAAAATTAAAAGCGTTCTTTGTAAAACTTGAGAAACTACTTTAAATTTTGGTCTGACGTTACTACTGATGATTCAACATTTTGGTGCATGAGGACACTTGCACTTGCACAGACACGCACCACTCGCACCCTTGTTTTTGTTTAGTTTCTCTCTTATCTCTGTCATAAACGTATAATTAGTAGCCATATAAATATGAGATTCATATGCTAATTCTATAATTATTTATATTGAATACAACTGTTTATATTCACATTTAATTGTAATATATATCATTTGAGTATCATGGCCCCCTCTTCTTGTTAATTTGCCAAAATTTCACAACTCATTTTTATCTTAGCTCGGTTGACCGTCTACTCAAGCTTTTACTTATAACGGCGACCTTCTGCTTTCTTTATACATGCAATGGCCCAATGTATAAGTTTACTCTTACTCATGTATTAAACATTTGTTTCTATATTTTGTACATTGTTTGTATACCTTATGTTTTATATAATTATCCATATTTGTTGTATAACTGATTTGTTTGATTGCAGAAAATAAAGTCTTTGAAATGAAAAAATAGTGTACGAAATCTATAGTAGATTTGGAACTACTATAGAATTTAAATCTAAACAAAAACACAAAGACTTTGTCTGTATATTTCAGACAAACGGACTCGGGTAATCGTGCCTTATGAATCGCTCGAAGTGTGAAAGGGAATAAGATACTATTTTGTAATTTACTGAGTGAATGAGTGGAAGACTTGATACACAGAAACGAATGAATGGGACATGATTATGGTCTAAATGGTGTTGTGAGGCTTGTTAGAGAGACAGAAACATGATTAGTTTCAACTTAATGATACATAATTACGGTATCAGGGTGAGAATAATACTCATCTATAAAAGGATGGAAAATATTGTGAAGTGGTTTGAGACTCTAGAAGCTAACTTTGACAAGAGACAGATTGGAAAAGGACGACAAAGTGCGTCACAAAAGGAAACAATTGCCATACGTCACAATTACTTTAAGCGTATGCTAGTAGAACGCATGTATGTGTATGTGTATGTGAGAGTGTATCAGATTACAGAGTGAATTGAAACACACAAACCGTGTTGTTTTGGAGATCCTAGTGCTCCAGATTAAAGACTAGGTGGTGGCAGCAGCCGCAACCGTCAGAGTTATGAAGTAACTCATGGTATAAGAGACTGGCATAAAAGTGGTTATTATTGTAGTCTTCTTTCCAGACCTGTTTTTACTTGTATTCCCTATATTGATAGATTTCCCTACAATGGTGGCAAGAGAAAGTTATACTAGCGATGGGGATGACTCGCTACAATGGTGGAATTCTATTACCCCCCCCCCCCCCCCCCCCATCCCTCGATTCCCTGATTTCATGGTGGCAGCGGTGGGATTACTATTAAGGCACCTTGGATTAATTCTCATGTGCGAAAAGCTGCAGCTTTTTAACCTAAGAGCGCATGCATGAAAGCTGTATTGAGTTAATCCCGGATGCGCGATTTGCCCACAAAAAAGCTGCATTGTGTGCGTCCGAAGACCGTGACGTCTTTTTCAAGCCAGAAAAACCGTGAACAATTTTCAACCCATTGAAAGATTCGTCAATATGTGGAGGCAAATTATTTTGAAGTTTTATGGAGTAAAGAGTGAATATGCATTTTAAAAAGAATGGGTTGTGAAATGTGAAATGATTGGATGGTGAAGGAGGGAATTTTGAAAATTCCTTTGAGCAGAGCTTTGTTCCTCTCCCCCATTGTCTCTCTCTTTCCCCTTCCTTTCACATCATTTTTCTTGCTCCATACCCCACCCCTCCCCCCCCCCCTCCCATATAGGTATTACCCATAGTAAGAGCGCTTCAAACAATGCATCTACCTCCTTATAGAGAGAATAGAGGAACGCGATGGTCTGGATAGTTTTCCCCAATCCCATCTCATCAGCCAGGATATAGCTTCCTGAGTGAGCTCCTAAAGGGATTACCCAACCAAGTACCAAGTAAGAATGGATTAAGGTGATTGTATGCCGATTAGGTATAAATTAGCAGCTGAGAGTCAGAGGGGCGTTAACTCTCATCATTTAACACAATTAATGACATTCTGGCTCCCAGTACATCAATTATTCTGAGGCTGAGCAGCAAGCATCATCAATTACCACATGCTAAAAATGATCAGTGTGCACTTACATGTACATCTGTCGTTGGCTCCAGCTTCTGTATGGCTCTTTGTTCTCTCTCTTGGTTTTTGCCTTTCTTGTTCTTGCCTTTACTCTTTTTGCCTTTACTCTTTTTCTTCTTCAATGGCTCGCCAAACATCAGGGCTCTGGAAGAAGGATGACAAAGACATTTTTTTTTTTTAATTCCAAGTCCAAACAAAATTAAAAAGAGCAACAATCATATTAAACTGAATGGTCTTGGTGGGTCTAAGACAATGTTATGACTATAAACTAAGGAATAAGGGTTCTATCAAATGATATATTTTCAATATTCCCTGAAAATACTATTTTGTTATTTACTGAGTGACTGAGTGGAAGACTTGATACACAGAAACGAATGAATGGGACATGATTATGGTCTAAATGGTGTTGTGAGGCTTGTTAGAGAGACAGAAACACGATTAGTTCCTACTTAATGATACTTAATTACAGTACCAGGGGTGAGAATAATATTCATCTATAAAAGGATGGAAAATATTGTGAAGTAGTTTGAGACTCTAGAAGCTAACTTTGACAACAGACAGATTGGAAAAGGACGAGACAGTGCGTCACAAAAGAAAACATTTGCCATACGTCACAATGACTTTAAGCGTATGCTAGTAGAACGCACGGTCCGGTTTCTTAGGAATCTGTGTATGTGAGAGTGTATCAGATTACAGAGTGAATTGAAACACACAAACCGTGTTGTTTTGGAGATCCTAGCACTCCAGATTAAAGACTAGGTGGTGGCAGCAACCGCAACCGTCAGAATCATGTGCGAGAAGCTGCAGCTTTTTAACCTAAGAGCGCATGCATGAAAGCTGTATTGAGTTAATCCCAGATGCGCGATTTGCCCACAAAAAAGCTGCATTGTGTGCGTCCGAAGACCGTGACGTCTTTTTCAAGCCAGAAAAACCGTGATCAATTTTCAACCCATTGAAAGATTTGTCATACTTGTTTAGCTCCCTCTGCGGCTAAACTAAGTTATTTTAGCTTAGCTTGAGTTCTTGTCTAATTAGCACTGTTCTCTGTATGTTTGGAATGGATCATATGCACAATCAAAACACCGTTTAAAAGGGTCATTTACAAGTAATAAGACCCGTTTAAAAATTCAACAAGCTGTTTCATTGTAATGAACTGTTAGAATTTTATACAACGTTTTATCTGTGTAAATATAACCAAATTAATTTTTAAAAAGTAGATTTTTTCGGGGAGGTAACTGGGAGGTGTCAATCTAGACACACGGGTTATGGGAGCCCCATTCAAATTTAATTCTCCAGCAATTAATGGAAATAAAGACTATAGTGTTGTTTTGTTCTCTCTCGCTGGTATAAACAATTGCGTGCTGGCCATAAAGCCAATGTGTTGATTCATGAATTCTTGTTTGGAGACTATGCTATTCCATTGTCATTTAACTCAGAGACAAAACATATTTTACGGAAGGTTTTAATATTATTTTTTTCTTTGAACTTGGTATAAAGCCCTGTCCAAAGAAAATATTTTCTCTTGCTCCTGTTCATCTCTTTTCCTCCCTCTCTTCTCTTTCTTTTCTCCCCTCTCTCTCTTTTGTTTCTTTACTGGCCACCCATTATGGGTGCAGTCTGCCTCCCTATCCGCATTCTGCCCTGTGCCCCCCCCCCCCCCCCCCCCCCCCCCGTACGCTAGTGTTTCTCCGGCTTATTATTATCATTATAATCATCATCATCATATTATTATTATCATTATTTAGATGGGGAGGGTGATGAATAATGAAAGGAAAGCAATGAATTATAAAAATTTGTTTATAATCATTTAGAAATGTGGGTTGATTTTACTCTTCCATTCAATAAATCTCATTAAAATGTGAAAACTGCACTCATTATTTTCTTCCTCCCTCCCCCAGGTGTCTCCCGCTTTTTCTGTTTTTTTTGTTAGGTGGGGGTAATGGAAGGAAGGTGACATTCGTTTAGAAATTTGCATTAATTTTGCTCACATCATTAACAAAATCAATACTCTTGCACAAGATTCAAGATTACGAAAGTGCTGTAAGTCAGACGCTATGTTCGTGTTCGGTTCGGTTCGGCAAAGTTCGGCAATTTTTCACCCGAACTTGGTTCGGTTCGGGGTTCGGTAATTTAAAAGCAAGTAGCGTTATAGCCACAGCGGTCAGGACTGGGCAGGCCGCCCGCCCTGCCGGGCCTGACCGGCACGGAGGACTTCTGCACACTGCTTCCGACCAGCACAAATTTCACATTAAAAAACTGCTCTAAACGTAATTATTTGTGAAGAAAAATACTACTTACATTCGTATTTCGGCGCTAGTGTAGTTCCGTATCCATTTTTTTAGCAGTTTAATATCCATTCTTAGCAAATGAATTTTAGCCCAATTTTTTACTAATTTTAATCATGATCATAAATTGCATTTTCAACCTGAATTTGGATCACATCTGACATCGGGAAACCTTCGTTTAGGGCTTCGATGTCGATGTCGTCGCTCAGTACCGTCTCTACGCTGTAGACCTGCACCTCAAACTGAAGCTATCAGTCCAAAATTATGCAGACTTCTTGTATGCGCGATACCATAAACCATACGAGAAGTCTGCATAATTTTGTAAGGTTTCCAGATGTCGAATGTGATCCAAATTCAGGTGGAAAATGCAATATACGATTATGATTAAAATTAGTTAAAAATTGGGCTAAAATTCCTTTGCTAAGAATGGATATTAAACTCCTAAAAAAAATGGATACGGAACTACACTAGCGCCCGTATTTCCGTCTTGAATCGTGTTTTATTTTCAATTTAAAAAGAATCATGTTTTCAATTTGTCAATAAATGATGTTTTTAAAAGATTTTCCGAGACGGTTGTTGTCTAATGTTAGAGTCATAAAAGGTGCCATCTTGAATATAGACTTTCAGGCTCGCCAAAAACTGTTTTTTATAATTTTTTATTTTCAATAGGAAAAATATAAAATTCCTATTTTTCCTGAATAAATAAATACCATACTATAATATATATTTATTTCATTTTTTATATTGTAAAATTTGTCCGATATGGTTACAATTAAAATATTAATATTTTGTTCAATGGGTTTGAGCAAATTGAGCTGAACTTGTTTTGATCACGCACATGTATTCTTGTTTATGGCTTGCGATCGCGACGTAGCGTGGTCAGGATTTGGGATTTAAATGGCGCCAGTGAAGTTGCGCCCACCACTGGATAGGCATAAATCACAAGGGCGGAAAATGGGAAAAAAGTAAATATAATATGAGCAATCATAACATGAAAATTAGGTACAAAATGAAAAGTTTATTAGCTTGCAAAAACGTTACATTTTTTTTGCCGAACATCCGAACCAGGCCTTTGTGTTCGGTTCGGTTCGGAAGTGCCATGTTCGGCGAACTTCCGTTCGGTTCGGCGGTTCGGCTACAGTACTAGATTACGATTTAAGATACTTTATTTCTCCAATCGTGCAAAATATAAACTAACATTATCAATTGCTTCTGTTTGTTGTACTTTCATATTATTCATTATAATCAGGTTTTTTTCATAAGCATGTCCATTTTTCTCTCACATGAAATTCTTGGACCAGCGTATTAAAGTCACATAGAAGTCAGCTCTCATGGGGAATTCGACACCGTTCGGGTGTTTACCCAAATAACAGGTGTTGTCAATCACCAGGGTTAGCCTTGAGTTTTATGACCATTATACCTTATGTAATGCTTTGCTTTTCCTTCGGCCGAATAATCTCCGAGCATGCTCCGAGAGACTAGGGGGTAATTCTTGACGGGCCAACGGGTTTGCTGTGTGCAGATTTGTACTCCCATTAAAGGTATTTCCACCAAGTCTGGTGTCAGCGAATTATAGCTTTCTGCACATGGAACCTGACTACCCACTCCCTTTAACTCCGCGATGTCTGTCCCACAGATATTGACTTGCGCTGAGACCTTTCCATACACAGAATTCTGATACTGCTGGTACTTCATTGGGAGCAGCGCAATCCGCACTCGCCCTGAAGAAATCTCATGAGGGCAAGCACCCTAGTACCTCATAATCTGCCCTTCTATTGTTCGAGTTTATAACCATGACAACGAACTCTACCTTTGGCCACGTTCATTGTTCCTCTTATGTAACATAGAAGTAGATAGGCCTCATACATAACTCTTTTCGTATAATCATTCGGTAGTTCTAAAATGCTTTCAAATATTTTGTATTGTTTTTGTTTGTTTATACTTTGTCAATATACTTACAAACTATTATTGTCAAAAATTGTCAATACTACCAAACTATTATGTTTTCCCTATCATCTTCCGCTCTAGAATCCTATTATTTATTTATTTTTTATTTTTTTGGTCCTTTTCATATTTTTCTTGTCTCTCTCTCTCTCTCTCTCTTCAAGATTTCTTGTTTTTGAAGGGGTATTTATAGTGTTAATTTTGGTATAAATAACAGAAAAATCGTTATTCTTTCTCTTATAATGTTGTCCACCTTCTTCTATGCTTAAGTATAATGTCCGATGTATATTACTTCTGTCAAGAACATACAATGAACATATAATTTTATTTTGATGCAACAGAGACTTTTATTTTTATTTAGGAGTACGTCAAATCGTGATCTTATTAAAAGGGTTGTTTAGAAATAATACGACCTGTTTAAAAATGCAATCAGTTTTTTTACAATATTATCTGAACAACCAGCCGTTTAGTTCATATTGTAATAAACTCTTAGAATTTTAAACAACTTTTTCTTTGTGTTTAACCGAATAATTTTTGTTTAAAAGGAGATTTTTATCAGGTGGGTAACTGGGAAGGTTTCAATCATGTCAATCAAAATGATTTTGTTTAAAGACTGTCACCAATATGCATTATTACATTTAAAGTATTGACACTTGTGGTACTTTAGGTGTATAATTATATAGACAAAAAAAATGAAGGAAAATCATTAAATGTTTCTTTCAAGGGCATCTTTTTTTTTCTCTCTCTCTCTCTCTCTCTCTCTCTCTCTCTATATATATAATATATATCTGTCACTCTATCTGTCTTTCTCTCTCTGTCTCTCCGTCTCTCGCTCTCTAAAAAGATGATATAGGGAAAACAAAATAGTTTGTAAGTATTGCTTGGAGAGCAAAATAAAAAATAAAAAAATACTAA